CATAGCCAATCTCCCATCCTCAAAACCTAGCCTTCACGGTTACTGATCTAAAATAAAGCTCATGTGTCAAACTTCTCAAAAGGCCTCAATTGTCTATTCAAGTTTAAAGTTCTAACAACACATTAAAAAATACTGTTATCTGGTCCAACCTATCTCTCTGAACTCATCTTCCACAAGCTGCTATTGCTTCAATACTCTACACCAGATTCTTTACTCCCTCTTTCCTCACCATATCTATGAGGTTCTCCTGCCTCCATGCTTTTCCTATTAAAATCGTTACCTCTCATACTGCAATATGTGGATGTAAGTTAATACACGTTTTTTGGAGAACCACTGGCAACGGCTATCGAACTATAAACGTACATATCCTTGCAACCAGCAATTCCACTTCTAAGTATATGTCCTACAAAAATACTCTTGCACATAAGGCACACAAAGATATTTACTACAGTGTTGTTCCTAAAAGATAACTGCATTGCCCTCGCCGGTGTGGCTCAGTGGTATAATTTCAACCAGGTTGTGGATTTAATTTCCAGTCAAGGGCATGTATCTGGATTGCAGGTTTGATTCCAGGTCCCAGTTGGGGCGTGTGTGGGAGATAGCCAACTGATGTCTCTCTCACATCAGTGTTTTTCTTGCCTCACCCCCACTCTCTAAAAATCCATGGAAAAAATATATTTGGGTGAGGATTAAAAATAATAATAAAATAAAAGAGAACTACTTCTAGTTGTGCACCAAATGGGAATTAAGTCCTGTTGCACCTATATTATGGATATGGAATACTTCATAGATTTAGAGAGAGAAGCACTCCTAAATGCATGCTAAAAAGAAGAATGCAAGAATTATTAAATTTTAAAAGTAAACATAATACATAATATACAAATTCAACAATATAAAACCCACCCGCCCTGGAAAAAAAACCCAAACTATATTTATGTATTTTCAGTACTTTTATGTATATTTAAATACATGGAAAATTGTCTGAAAGAATATATCCAAGTTTTTAATAGTGGTTAACTCTGGGGAAAGGAGTAGAACTGGGAGTTTCTAAAACTATCATAATAATGATACAGAAATATATTCCTGTATTAATTGAATAAAATTTCAAGTGTGTTACAAACAGGCAGGAAGAGCCTACAGACAGACAACAATCTCACTCCTGACTTACTTGGCCTGCTCTACTTCCTACTCTATTCAGCCAGAACTTGACTGAATGGAGGTGGACACACAGAGCAGAAGCACATGCAGCCTCTCTTGGCACAGATTTTTCTTGGCCCAAGCTCCCTAAGGGCACTCACAGCTGTCAGGACCACACTCTCAGGTCCAAGTCCAGCACAGCTGAGAAAGCCACATTTGTACTTGGTCACTACTCAGGCTGACCATTCTACTGACTTTTTCTTCCATTTAAAGGAATGTTTACCAACACTGGCACTGCTGGTTTTTGAATAAACGTGTCTGTTTCCAACAAGAACCACATCCTGACTGGGAATGGCCAAGGACAGAGAGTCAGTACCCAGGTATTCCTGACAAAATCTCCAGCCTCCAGATTTCCAGAACTCATCTTTCTCTAGCCTAATTTAAAAGTGTAAAAATTAAGAACAGGAAGAAGAAATCCTTCATGAATCCTTCACTTCCAGTCTGCACTCATCATTCCTTTTTCTGTACCTCAACATTCTTTTGAGAAATATCTCTATTACAGGAGCCTTTGTGTTCTTCCCTACATTTATGAGCATAGCTGGATTCTCCACTAAGGCACAAACTACTGAGGACCAAACTGTCTTAACTCATCTTTTATAAAAACTTAAGGTGTTCAAAGTTCTTGCTGTAACAGGTTTTCAAGAAATGACTCCTGAATAGAATTTGTTGAAAACAGTCAATGTACACAATACCATAGAGTTCACAGACAGGAATGTGTTTAACTTTCCAATAAAAATGTCTACAGGCAGTATCAAATCAAATAAGAAGGATCAATAAGAAGTTTTAAGTGGAGTTCCATTTCAACTTATTTGGTTAAATGAAAGCTTTGAGTTGGAACAGAAAATAAACTTCAAAAACCACGTTATGTCATAGGCAAAAGTAGAAAAGTTTAAAACTTTTAATGGCATTTAAATAGAAAAAAAGTTCATCTCTATTGTAACCTAAGGTAAAGAAATCTCTTTGCATTCCCTTTACATCATGAGTCTAAATACAATCACGGCTTCTCCATATTCTGATTATTTAACCAGTTTCCTGTGTACATCTTTGCCAAATAATAAAAATACAAATATCATTTACTACATTTTGTGTATGTGATCCTTGTGACCTATATCTGACACCAAGAACAAAATCCTGCCTTCTTGTAAATATTTTACTTTAAATAAAATTGATGAGAATATAAAAATTATTTTTAAATGTTAAACTTGCTAGACAATGTTTCTTGGTAGTGGTATGTTATGTCATGCTCTGAAGAATGTTGTAAATTATGACAACTGACAACTGCAAATAAGAACTAACGTTTACTAGTAAACTCAGTGTGTAGAGAAAATTGTCTAGTAATTACCTCATTTATTTACTACCAACTCTATGGGTAGATACAGTAATTAATATTCTATCTTAGAGATACATACACTGAAGCTTAAAGAAGTCAAGTAATGCGCAGAAAGGGACATTTAAGTGACAGACCCAGAATTCAAAGGCTACTCTTTCTGATTCCAAAATTAATACCTGCCACTCATCCTATGCATTTAATAAATCAAATCAAAACAAAAGTACTCTTTGTTCACTTTTGTGAATTACTTCTTAGGCAACTGGAAACAGAATGATGCTGGTGTAAAAGTAAGTTACACTGCTTCATGCATGGGTTTTCCTAGTATATTGTTTTCAGGCAATTGGGAACAAACTTTTTTATAATTAAAGATAAAACCTTAACAAAAGATGAATCCTTTAAGAAAAAAAAAGTGAAAATCTACAACGAAAAAATGTTTTCTTCTTGTAGGTAGTAGCTGACTTGGTAGCTACAGGGACTGTTACCCTTTCAGCAGGTTAACATTTGACAAAGCTGCCTGAGCAGACGAAGAGGCTGGACAAAAAAAATCCCCCTGTATCAGAAACAATGGATTAAAGAAGAAGACTACACACTGGATTAATTTTTAATTTTAATAAACAGCCTCTTAGAAGCAATGCTCTTCCGGGACCTACAACTAGAAAGAAGAGGCTGAGCTCAGGTTATAGTTTAAGAATCCAAAGATTGATGTTTATACAAAATACAAATGTTAGTCCTTTGTTTTTTATTAGAATTGTTATTGCTTTTACTTAGTATTCAAGATCAAAGTTGCATGGATTTTTTTAGTAGTCTGTCCCCAGCCTTTTTCCCCCCAAAAGCATTATTACTTTTACTGCACGGTTTTGCAGAACTCAAAGTTTGTCAAGATATATATATGGCATTGTGGCAGAAAATTCTGTATGCATTAGACAAAACAATCCCTATGAACCTTCAGTACATAAGGACTTACTAAAACTTCATGCTAGTCTTTTGTTTAGTTTTGCTCTCAGTTTTTCAAAGATGTAAGGTAAACGCCAACCCTACAGAGAAAATAATGAATTTGTGTTAAAACTACTACCATTAGGACAAAAATGTAGAAGTGGAGATTAATGCTACTTTGAATTTAAAATAGTTTAGATGCTTTTTTGCTGATCATTAAATAAAGATCAATGTCAAGTCACAGTGATCCCAAAGTAGGCATGAGAGAAACACACACACACACACACACACACACACACACACCCCCCAAAGCAGCTCTTTGGGTATATATCCTTTTTTCTTTTTTAAACAGAACTCTTTATTTTATTTATTTATGTTTTTCTTTATTGATTTTAGAGAGAGAGGAAGTGAGAGGGAGTGATAGAAACATCAATGAGAAAGAACATCAACTGGCCGCCTCCTGCATGCCCCCGCACTGGGGATCGAGCCCACAACCTGGACATGTGTCCTGACTGGGAATCGAACCAGCAACCTCTTGGTGCATGGGTCGACGCTCAACCATTGAGCTACACAGGCTGGATGGTACATCCTTTTTTAACATTACTACTACAGAAGCTGATATTATGGAGAGTGACCCTACTGAGTAATCTATTGTATAAACTAAGGCAATGGTTCCTATCCAGCTTGCATATATTTCCAAATATATAAACACACTATCAAAACAAAGATAACTATAGTTTGTATAGAAAACAGGCCATATGAGCTGATGTTTTAATAGATACAGTTGCCCTGAATTACCTGTTCATAACATAAAGCTTTCTTGGAAGAATTCTTTCAAGTGATGCCTGGAGACCTAAGTACGTGGTTAAATGAGTTCTGGTACCAATTTCCATGTGAGAAGCAAGTTTCCCACTCCTACAAGCAATTCTCTGGACACTGGTAAGGTATCCTACAATTCAATCCAATTCTGTCACAATCTATCCAGAGATAGATCCTACTGATAAGGGTTCAGCCCCAGAAGACTGCTCTTCCCCTTCCGTTGTCTGCTGCAAGCCCAGGAGCTTTTGACAAATGAGCTATAGACTGGAGGTTCCCATGACTCCCTCCTTGGGTCCAATCAATTTGGTAGAGCAGCTCACAGAACTCAGGGAAACATTTTACTTATTAAATTACTGGTTTATAATAATAGGACATAACTCAGGAGCAGCCAAAGAGAAAAGCACTTCCATGCTCTCTCCAGGCACCCCCCACCCCCCACCCCCGATCTATTCCATGTGTTTGCCAACCTAGAAGCTCTCTGAATTCTGTCATTAGGGTTTCTATGGAGGCTTCATAATCACTGATTAAATCATTGGTCACTGGCCACTGATTCAACATACAGCCCCCTTCCACTCCCTGGAGGGGAGGTAGGACGGAAAGTTCCAAACCTCTAAGCATAGGGCTGCTGGCCCCACAGGCAACCAGTCCCCAACTTTAGGTGCTTTCCAAAAGTCACCTAATTAACTTAACAAAAGACACCTTTACTGCTGTGATGACTTACAAAATTCCAAGGGGTTTAGCAGCAGGGAGCCAGGAACTATGGACAGAAGACCAAAAATGTATGAGAGAAATATCTTTTCAAATATATACTACTTCTTATAAGTCATAGTATCATGGTAGTAAAAAAACGTATCTTTTTCCCATTAGTCGTAATATTGGACCTTTGTGACTCCCAATTTCTGTTTCTATCTAACTGATCTTAGTACTTACATTAGTCATATGTCAGGGATTACATACTAATCTATAGAGTATTATCACATTTCTTGTTTAAATCAACAGGGTTGATTCCCAGCCTGTACGGCTCAGTGGACTGGGTGTCGACCCATGGACTGAGCGGTCCAGTTCGATTCCCAGTCCGGGCACATGCTCTGGTTACTGGCTTGGTTCCCAGCGCTCTCAGTGCAGGGTGTGCAGGAGGCAGCCCACTGATGTCTCTCTTTCAGATCAATGTTTCTCTCTATCCCCCTTCCTCTCTCTCTATATAAAATCAATAAAAACATATTTGAAAAAAAAATCAACAGGGTTGGGAGAAAAGTTATGCAATTTTAATAGAATAAAGCAAAAAGTATATAAAAATACTTTTGTTTACTACAGGAAAAGCTCCTTTCCTTTATAATTACATTTGGCTTGGGCAAATAAATTAGTTCTTCTCCCCTAAATATCATCAATTTAGAGTAAAACAGTTATTCAAAATCATGATTCTTACCAAGAGTTGGCCTGCCTGACATTTTTTAATTTCACCATACAAAATCCAAAAGCAATCCAAGCAAATTATTCCTTTGCATACATCCTCATCCCATGATCTCACATCCCAATCCAGTTTCCCTTACCAAATAAGGGCAACCCTGCAATTACCACTGTTCAAGCCAAAACCCATGGAGTCATCTTTGACTCCGATCTTTACTCCATACACCATATCTAATCTGGGCACACTGCCTCAGGGACTTCACATTTGCTGTTCCTTCCTGCTGGAATATTCTTCCCCCACATACATGCCTCACATTCTCATCTTATCCTTAAGATCCTTTGCCCAAATGTCGTCACGTCAATGAGAACTTCCATAAACACTTCATTTCTTCCTGACACTCTCTATGATGATTTTCCTGTGAAGACAAGCAACTTCCTGGAGTATGTTACCTAGCAGTTACTTTTGTAAAATTAAAAACACTTAAGCCTGTCATTTAAACAATGACTTTTCAGCTATGAAAATCACTTGATTTGTATAGAAATAAAATGAACTTGGAACTAGCCCTTTGAATGACTCCATCATAAAGTCTTAACCAAGATTTAAAAAAATAATGACGTGTATCATGTATATTTTATCACAATTTTAAAAATAACAAAGTGATATTTAAAATACACTGCTCTCGCCCTGGCCGGTTTGGCTCAGCGGTTAAAGCGTTGGCCTGCGGTCCAGAGAGACCCGGATTCGGTTCCCACTAAGGGCACGTACCTTGCAGTTTGTCTCCGGCCCTGGTTGGTCGTGTGGGTGGCAACCACTCGATGTGTCCCTTTCACGTCGATGTTTCTCTCTCTCTCTCTCTCTCTCCCCCCCCCCCACTCTATCTGAACAAAATATGGAAAAATGTCCTCGGGTGAGGATAAATAAATAAAATAAAATACACTGCTCTCACTAAAAAAAAAAAAAAAAAATACTTACGAAGATAAAAAGGGTTTAAAAGTATCTTCAAAACTTTACATTTTATCACAATTTTTTTACTATTTAAAATTTCTGTACACATTCCAGTATATGTACTAGTAAAGTACAACACTTCATTATATTTTATTAATACATAATCATATATACTAGGGTACATGTTAACTTACTACTGATGGGGGTGAGCAATCACAAGTCAGGAGACTATGATGTGGTACAAACACAAAAAACACTGCTGCATGTGCTCCATAGCTATGGCAGTATATGGGTCAAGACCCCAAACAAAGGCAACCTTCTTTGGCTTCACAGGAATTAACTAAACCCACCACCTGTTAATCACTAGAAACACCAAGCAAAATTTTTTAAAGATCAGAGCATAAATATCACCTTTCCAGAATAAAACAATACCGGATATTTCCCTCATTAAAATAAAATGGTCACCCTGGCCAGTTTGGCTCAGCAGTTAGAGCGTAGGCCCGCGGACCAGAGAGTCCCAGGTTCAGGCCCCACTAAGGGGCAAGTACCTGGGTTGCAGTTTGTCCCTGGCCCCAGTTGGGGTCATGTAGATGGCAACCACTCGATGTGTCTCTTTCACGTCAATGTTTCTCTCTCTCTTCCTCCCTCTCTCCCTCCCGCTCTATCTGAAGATAAATGCAAATAAATAAATAAATAAAGGCCCTATTTCTAAAAAAAAATAAATAAAATTGTCATTGTAAAAAGACTCTGAAAAATTAAATCAAATTCATGAATGTCCTCATTGTCACAGCATTAATGACCATGTACCCCTCCTCCCCAACTAAGCCCCTTTCTTGAAGGCTTCTTAATACATAAGAAGCTATACAATGTTATGGAAAAGGCAACAATAGCAGTTTCAATCCCTTACCTCTTTATTTGTCCTTTCCTTTCCAATCAGCAAATAAACAAGACTATTCCACCTTAAAAAGCAGTATCGAAGCACCTATGACTTCACTCCCACCAAGTTCAGAGCAGTTACTTTTTTTTTTTAATCCTCACCAGAGAATATTTTTCCATTTTTATTTTCAGACACAGAGGGAGAGAGGGAGAGGGGGAGAGAGAGAAACATCAATATTAGAAAGACACATTGACTGGCTGGCTCCAGCACAACCCCAACCAGTGCCAGGGACCAAACCGAAGCAACCGAGTTATGTGCACTTGACCAGAATAGAACCAGCGACTCTTGGGTCTGTAGGCCAACGCTCTAACCACTAAGCCAAACTGGCCAGGGCCAGAGTAGTTACTCTTGAAAGAGTTGTCTCTACTTCCTCAACCCATGACAAACCACATTACAGTTCCCACCAGTTCACTGAAATTGTTCTTGCCAAGGACTTTGAAGTCCCAATCTGATGAGCTTTTGGATTTATCTCATTTGTCCTCTTCCCAGCATCTGACACAATTGAGTACTTTCCCTCCTTCTACAAAGTACTCTTCAACTCTTCATTTTTGTAACACTACACTGTCTAGGTTTTTGTCCCACCTCTTTTGTTACTACTACTTTTCTTTTACTGTTTCTACACCTCTACCCATTCCTTAAATGTTGGTACTCACCAGTGGCTTGTCTCTGCTTAACTCCAACTCTCCCCAGGATATTTTGCCCACTCCCAAAGGTTTTAATTACCATCTAATAAGTCTTCAAATACACATTGCCAAACTTGACCTTTCTGAACTCCAGAAATCAAAGACATAATATATATACATAACTGGCCACTGGATAACTTCATCTAGCCCTCTTACAAGGGCCTCAAACTCAACATCCTCAAAACAAAAAACTCTTGCCAACAGTAACTCAAGACTCCTCTACTGTGCCATGTATCTCAGTGCCAACTCATCTCCACACATGGCATCATCACCTGCACCCCAACATGTGTGAAGCACCAGAATTTTTTTGCTTGGTAATTTTTAATAGTTCTAATTCAAGATATATCCACCACAACTCTATTCACTCTTAAAACTGGCCCCAAACAGTTACAGTATTAAAGACATAAAGCCCCATGTTACCTTTCCAAAACACAACGTATCTCCAAATTATCACTGAATTGCTTTCCAATGTCATTAAAAATTGACTTCAAAAAACATTCCTTGCTGTTCCTTTCACATCGATGTTTCTCCCTCTCTCTCTGTTCCTCTCTCTCCCTCCCACTCTACCTGAACAAAAAATGGAAAAATGTCCTTGGGTGAGGATAAAAAAAAAACAACATTCCTTGCTATAGAATAAATACAGCTTACAAATGCAAAGTTTTTAGAATCTTAATAGTTGACTGTGTTTCTGAATTTCAGGAGCAGAAGTATACACATGTATCCCCAATGTGTGTTGGCATGTTTTTATATCTTCAACAGGAAAAGGAGAAGATATTTGAAAAGGGACAGATAATTGTATTAATCACAAGTAAAATCTCCACATTAGAGCTGAAAAACAGATGTGATTTTGTCACTGGAGCCCCTCCACATTGTATTCTCTGTAAATCTTCCTCATACACAACAGAAACCTATCCTTAAACCTAACAAACAGCTGCCAATGCCTCAAAGCACTGGATGAACTGGTCATCAGACCAAAGCAGAAATGAAAACAGCACACTGAGGTCAGAGCTCATGAAAAGTCAAAAAAGTGGAAATCCTTGACAGGACAGCTGAGGCATTAGTATCCACTACTAGGTGATTCCTCTCACAAGAACAGAGTACCTTTCCCAGGAGCATAGGAACTGTATGTTACATGTCCAACTTTTTAAAGTTCTTAAGTTCACTCTGTCATTTACAATCTATATCATATTCTATGACCAGGTGTGATCTTTCAAAAGTATACCAAGTTAGCGTGATCAGGAAATGATCCAACATAAACATTAATCTCAATAGGCACTGTTAGGAATCAGTGCTAGAAAAGCCATCTGTTTGATGGAAATAATATTTCTATTTCCCTAGTGATTATAGCTATCAGTGACAACTGTGAAATCCCAAGAGATGATACAAAATTTTAACTGTCTCAAAACTTTAATTATTCATATAAACTGGCAAAGAAATTAAAGTCAAATGTTACACAAAGGGCTCTCTAACCACTTAATATTTTTTGGCTAATTAGTCCATTGGTAGTCTACATCTGCTCTGTTAAAATATGGTTATAAATCAGAAGTAACTCACTGGGAATGTTTATATATCTAAAAGTGACTGGATAATACTAAATTCACAAAAATTGTTATTTTTAATATGCATAAAATCCTCCTGAAAACATGTCCTGCACAATAAAAGAACAGATGTGACTGTAAGTTTAAATTCTTTCAACCACTAGAAAGAATGAAACTAATTTAAGAACAACAACAAAAAAGTTAATTTTAACAGCATATTTAATCTGTACTTTTTAAATATCTTTAATGCTCAACTATTTATGATCAGGAAGTATGTCAGGCACTGCCTTTATGAATAAAGTGAATATATCATGATCATTTAAATACATAAATAGTTCAGAGATCTACAAATATATAATATTCTAAGACCTTCAGAAATACTGACCATAATGTCATATACACAATGGTGGGTATTTTGGTCAGAGATCTTCATTTGTTTTAACTACTTCTCTTCTTACCTGCCACCACCACCCCCTTTTTTGGGGGGGAATAAACATTTTTTAGAGTTTTTTTGAGAAATTTATCTTCTAGATTTTTACAAAAATATGTTTTTATTGATTTTAGAGAGAGAAGAAGGGAAAGGAAGAGAGAGATAGAAACATTGATGACAGAGAAACATCAATATCTATTGGCTGCCACTCACCACTGGGCCACACTGGTAGGGCTCTTCTAGATTTTTTAATAAGACACACCAGAGCTCCCTCATTTCTTGTAGCTCATCTTCAGGTGTGGTTTTTGATATCTCAGAGTAAAAATACTTTCAATAATTTATAGTTAACTATTTGGATCTACTCAATAACATATTAAAACCATATACTTCTGAAATAAAAATGAGTATATGCACAATGCCTAAAACTATATGTATGAGATAATCATACTAAATAGAAAATATTTAGTTCTAAACAACCCAACATTTATAACTTTAAACAGTAGACATAAGTAAGGAATCATCCACAAGTGCTACACACACAGTAGTTGCTGAGAGCAAAAATATCTGATGACAGAAACCATGTCTATAACATCTTAAAATTATAATTTACCTTTACACATATACAAATAATACATTTAGCAAAAGAATCATCAAAACAGTAAAGCAAAATATTACAAATTCCTTCAAAGGCATAAAAAAAAGAAAGAGCAGCAGCAGAATTAACTGCTCCAAAGATTACCAGAATAGAAACACTTCCTCAGTTTGTACTATCCTAACCCTGCCCCCTCAAAACATATTCACCCTTAGGGATTCACAAATAACAAATACAGAATTCACTGCAACTGTGGTTACCATTTGTAAGCAGCCTTTCATTGCTCCAAAAGGCTCATCACTGTAGATGCTCATCAGTTTTTAAGCCACATCCAAGCTGCTGTTGGTCAGAACAAAATTTGGAAGCAAAAACTTTAAAATGGCATTTTATAACACTTTTACATAAAACAAAATTAAAAGTATTCCAGTATAATGGAAAGAATGAAAGTTTCTGAAATACTAGAAACATGACACTCGAGTCATTATGAATAGTAACACTTGTCATTTATATGGTGGGATGTATTCAGTATCATGTTTAACTTAATTCCTAGATCAAAGAGGTATCATTTAACTCTGAAAAAAGGTGAAGCAGTGATATCACGAAATTAGTTAATGGTGAACAAAATCTGTATCATGACCCCGAGCCTGTGTCCTTTCTACAACCTTTCTTCCAAAGTTGTGTAATAAAATGCAGAGACAAAACCCCAAATAAAACTGTTCTAAAAAATAAAGTAGTTTTAAAAATATCCCACATAAACCGATTTCCTTTTCAACCTTACCCTCCTGCCTCAGATCTGCATTCTCTCTGGACTGAGGGAAGGTGCTACTCTAGGTAGTGGTACAGCTAATCATGTTCTGATGGATGACTAAGGATCAACCACAAAACTGGGGGTAGGGGTGGAGGGAGAACAGGAATGCCTAGTAGTAATATTACATACAAGATTACACAATCCCTAGATGTTCATGGCAAGTGAATTGGAATCCAGAGACGTAAGTTTGAATTCTAACACTCCCACCAGCTAGCAGGTGAACTTGGTTAAGTTTCAAGACAGTAACACTACCTTCTCCTCACAAGAAGTGGCAAACGTTAAATGCAACAGACCTCAAGGTTGCCACATTCATTTCACAAATTATATTTAAAACACATTAAATGCGGATGTATTAATACCAGGGGGTTCATAAAACTTTGTAAATATAATATATAGTAGTTAAAGTAGGATTTCAAATCACTGAGAAAAGAATAGATCTTTCAAAAAGTGACATTGTTGCCCTGGCGGGGTGGCTCAGTTGATTGGAGTACCCTCCCGTACACCAAAAGGACACTGGTTCAGTTCCCACTCAGGGCACATACCTAAATCTTGGGTTCAATCTCAGGTCAGGGCAAGTACAGGAGGCAATTGTTTGATATTTCTCTCTCATATCAATGTTTCTCTCTCTCCCTTCCCCTCTCTCTAAAATCAATAAACAAACATATCCTTGGGTGAGGATTAAAATATTTTTTTTAAAAAGCAGAAAAATATTTTTTAATAAAATAGTGATGTTTCAGAATACTTCATTCATTCATTCATTCATTCAACAAATACTGAATACCATGTACTACGTTCTAGTGGAGGAAAAACAAAATAAAAGGCAAATAAAACATATTGTTAAAAGCTGATATGTGCAAGTTAGAAAATAAAACAGGGAAGGAGCACAGAACATGGGATTAAAAAGCAGGATAAATGTGATAAAATGAGAAAGCACTAGAAAGGAGACCAAGAAAAGGTGCCAGTGAAGTAGAAAACCAGGAGTGTGGTATCCGAGAAAACAAGTGAAAAAAAAATGTTTTAGCAAGGGGATGACCCAAGATTTCAAATGCTGCTGATCAAGTCAAGTCAAATAACATCTGAATAAAACTGACTACTACATTTACCTGTGTGGAGGGAATTGGTAAACCTGAGAATTTTGTTAGAATGATACAGGCAAAAACCTGACTGAAGTAGGTTTAGGAGAACGGAGTGAGAGTAAATGGAGACAGAACTCTTCACAGAAGTTTATTGCAAAGAGGAAAAGAGAAATAAGGCAAAGAGGGGAGTGTGGAGTCCAAAGGGGAAATAACAGCCTGTTTGTATATTGTCAAGAATGCTTCAGTACAAGGGTAAAAACTGAAACCACAGAGAGGGAAAGCTAGCTGGCTAGTCCAATGTCCTAGAGTAGCTGAGAAGAGATGGGATTTAGTGCAAAGTAGAGGGGTTGCCCCGAAAGGGAAATACTTGCCCTTAAAGGGGAGTTCTCACATGACTTGCAAACTTTTCAGCAAGCATCAGAATCAGCTGATGAAACAGAATGTTGGACTCCACCTCCAGAGCTTCTGATACAGGAAGTTAGGGTGGAGTAAAATGATTTGCATTTCTAACAAGAGCTCACTGCTGCTGGTCCAAATACCTCACTAAGAATCACAGCTCTATATCAACAAAAGGGAAGACCAAAACACTAAGTGTATAAGAACAAATGCTGTACACTTGGGTTATACATTTGGAAAAATTGAGGTTAGAGCCTACACATCACATAATACTTAAAAAAAAAAAAAAATGTCCCAGAAGGGTTAAAGAGATAAATCATGTTCTAAACTATAAAACAACATATTCAAGAAAATCACACAGACAAATGCTTTCACAATCTTAGGGTGAGAAAGATAAGTACAATACAAAGACAATAAAATTGAATGATTAAAAACTAGGAGAAAATATTTCATATAAAATTAATAGAAAGTACTATCTAGAAAATAAAAAGTTCCTACACAAAATTAGAAAAAGGCGTATTTCATCAGAAAAATGCAAACTGCCAATAAACAGATGAAAAAACAGTGATTTACTTAAAAGTATCCAGGTTTTAGTTATCTTCACACATACACAGATGTGTTCATGGCAGTAATGTAAAAAATAAGAAAAGTTTACTTCCTCAAAGCAGCCATTAAGAACAAGGAGGGAAAGGGTCACACCTACTGACATCCAAAACTATGCAAGAAATACTGTCCCCACGTAGCTGAACAACAATATGATCCAATTTATGTAAGGAAGGACAGACTGAAGAACACAGAATTTTTTTAAAATCACATTTGCATGGAAATGCATTCTACAGAAGTATGGAAGAATGCTGCACATCAAACTCTGAAAAAGACCATCTCGGCCCTGGCAGGTCTGGCTTAGTGGTTAGAGTGTCGGCCCGCAAACAGGAGAGTCCCAGGTTCAGTTCCTGTTAAGGGCATGTATCTCGGTTGCGGTTTGTCCCCAACCCCGGTTGGGGTCATGTGGGTGGCAGCCAGTCGATGTTTCTCTCTCTCTCTCTTCCCCCTCTTTCTCCTGAAGATAAATGCAAAAATGTCCTCGGGTGAGGATACAAAAAACAATAAAATAAAAATAAAAAAGACCATCTTGGAGGAGAATCAAGGAGGCACACCACTCCTTATGCTCTTAAGCTCTACATTTACTCTTTGAGTTTAAACAATATATATCACTTTTTGGGGATAAACATTTTTAAAAAGAAAAACTTCTTGAAAGGTTAAATATACATTAAAATGTTGTGTTTAATTTGGTAGGATTAAGATCTTTTTTACCTTTTTCTATTTTGTTACTTTTGTTATCAAGAGAAAAAAATACATATAGCATTTAAACTATCCATAGTCAATATTAAAGATGTTGGTTCTATACTTTAATGTGAGCAAAAAAAAGGTTTCGATTTTTAAAGCATCTTTCATAAAAATAGTATGAACATAATTCAGGAAGTCAGTTTCTTTGAAGGTTCTACACAGAAAAGCCAATTTTTGCTGAATGTAGTAAGCCTTATCACTTAAATGCCACCTAGTGGCAAGTGTTATATATTATTAAATCCATACAAGTTCTAGTCACTCAGCAGATAACATTCTGGCCCATGATAGTTGCTCCATAATTATGCAAAATAAGTAAAATAATGATCCTGTCCTTACAGAACTCACTGACAGATTAGATAGATACACAGATAATCAACAGAGACATATTTATAAATTGCAGAAATGGGTTAAATGTAGAAGAAGCATGCTAAGTATTCGGCATTTATTTAAAAACTAAAAGAAACAAAACACTGTTAGGTAGGTTCTCTATATTAAACCTATTCACCTCACTCAGACTTTTCCATTTCTAATTACTTCATCACTAAGGTTTCAATTGTTCAGTTGTTTTTCCCTAATCCATCTTTATCTTTTACATTCTACTCCAGAAAGGGGAAGGAGAAGGACCTACTACTTCCAGAACTGAGCTAAGCATTTTATTTCCCCTATCTCATTTAATCCTCATATCAATACCATGAAGTACCTTCTCCAATTTTTCAGACAGGGTGAGACTTAGATTAAGTGACACGCTCATAGTCACAGATCTATTTTAGAGACAGTGTACTGATTCCAAAGTTCCCTGCACCACCCTGCCTCAAAAAGAGCTGCTTTGTTTTTCCATTTCTGGACCTACCAAGATCACACCTTGATCACATTTCTTTTATGGTGTCCATCAATTCCAATTTATTTTACTATACTGTTTATATCCAGCCTCATCTCTTCAAAAACATTCAGTAACACCCCACCCCTCATCTGCATGATTGATATTCAAATCCTTAGCTTAGCACTCAAGGTCTTCTAAGAGGCCCCAACCACTTTTCCAGTTTTATTTCCTACCACTCCCTATCAACTCTCACATTTTCTATGAACTATCCTCCAGTTAAGAGATAATCACTCTCACCTCTGTGTTCTTACCAATATTACATATGTGGTACAGCACTTATAATCTCTCCTACTATAATTATCTGTGTACTTTCCACTAAACCATGAGCTTCACCAGACCACTTCTTAGCCATCTTTATAAGACCAGTACATACCAGCGTCTTATACCTATTAAGTATCAACAACTATTTCTTTAATATAATGTTATTAAAAGAATTATAAACGAAAGCCACTAAAGCATGGTTACACTCCTCATTTCCTGTAACCCTTCCTTCATGTCTGGGACCTCAATGTTTCTGCTTCCTCCATTTGCTATATGGATCAGGAGCTTTGTATAGAAAAATATAATTTTTTGCATGAAAAATTTTCTCACACTCAAACCAAAAGTTAAATGATTTGAAAAAGAGTGTTGGGAACTATGAAGGCAATAAAAAGTTAGGTAGTTGCCAGGGGTTAGGGAAGAGAGAGGAATAAATAGGCAGCACAGAGGATTTTTAGGAAACTACTCTGAACAGCAGATATATTTGTAGATACATTACACATTTGTCCAAACCTAAAGAATATACACCAAAAGTGAACCCTAATGTAAACTATGGACTTGGGGAGATAATAATGTGTCCATGTAAGTTTATTATAACAAATGTTCAACTCTGCTGGAGGATGTTGTTAATGGAGGAGACTGTTTGTGTGTTGGGTCAGGGGATACATGGGAAATCTCTGTTACCTTCTCCTCACTTTTGTATGAACCTAAAACAGTTCCAAAAAATAAAGTCCATTAAAAAATGTATGCTGGGCCCTGACCAGTATGGCTCGGTTGGTTCAGTGTCATCTCCTGCACTGAAAGGTCCCTGGTTCGATTTCCAGTCGTCAGGGCAAATACCCAGGTTTCGGGTTCAATCCCCAGTCACCGGGGGGGGGGGGGGGGGCAACCAATTGATGTTTCTCTCTCACATCAATGTTTCTCTCCTCCTTACTCTCTCTCTAAAAGAATCGATAAAAACACATTCTTTTAAAAGAATATATTCTGGTAAAATAAAACAAGATCTTAGTGGGTCTGCAGTTTTCCAAAAAGGAAACAAATATGCAAACCAGCTTAAAACTATCATGTCCTATCTGGAGCAAGATAAGTTTCAAAATAAGTTGTTTATAATAATCATTTTTTTTTTTTTTTGGTACGTGCCCCCAGCGGGAACTGAACCCGGGACTCTCTGGTCTGCAGGCCGACACTCCAACCACTAAGCAAAACCAGCCAGGGCTAATAATAATTTTTTAAAATCCACAACATCAGTTCTATAAGTTATAAGGC